TTTTGCTTTTTTAGAGTCAAGTCGAACTGAATTTTTGTCAATTCCATCTACAGACTGTCTACCATTTTCTGAACGTCAATTCAGAAAATACTTTTGGAAAGAGATCACAGCTAATGTTCTTTTAGCACCCGAGTCTATATATATATATACCCAGCTTTGGCCGGAGTTTTTTTCTATTAATACATTATAGTTATGATTTTTTTAAATAATTTCTCAAGAAGAAACAAGGGCTGAAACGGGCAGAGTCCCACGAGGTTGATAGGTCTATCTTAGAAATATTCAGAAATTTTTTTCTGGTAGGAGTAGGAAAGGTGTTTTGCTATGTGGTGAGTCATACATAATGAGTAGCTTATATCATTCGCAACCTCTGTTACATAACCGAAGTTTTAACCAACAGCTGATATCAAAGAGCAAACCTCATCGTATGAAATATGAGAGGAAAAAATCTGATGTGTACACCACATGACTTCCTTGTACGGAATATTAAATTATACGCATTTTTTCTTGCATTTTACTTAAATTTATTAGATTGAATTAAACCTACTTCGCCGACAGCGCATAAACCACAATAGAATAAATGCATTCTTTAAAATTCACTTTGTTTACCATAGCGACACTCTGGCGCTAGCTTTACTTAACAGTATTATATTTCATTCATATTTTAACTCAGAATGCACAAAATTTGTATCATTTAAAGAATTATATAATCGTTGCCACATGTTCTATTCAAATACTATAATAAAGCTAGAACTATGTATAAAAGAAATTAAGCAAACAAAAAAAAAAAAAAAAAAAGTTTTTCACAGACGATTGAGTATTTCTCATTTAATTAATTCAGTTCTCACTTCGCGAGAAGGCAAACAATACATAAAAACTCAAAATATCTATATTAAAATTACGAAGTAAATCTCAAACGCTTATTTCCTCGAAAAAATTCCAGAAAGAATTAAGCATGATTTAATTCGCAATAATAAATGAATACGTTATCTTTGTTGTTGCAAAGCTAAGTTTCTCTAGATTGGCAACAAATCAACTAGTCTCCTGTTTCAAATGTAAACATCAATGGCTGTCATTAAAAAAAGGCTTAGCGGCAATTAAACAACTTTAAAATTGCTGATAATTCTAAAAATATTGCACACAGATTTACTAGAAGGCATAAAATCCTTAACCGGAAGATAAAAAACACATAATTCAATCATTTTTAAAGCAAAAAAATGTACAATTTACCAAACATATAAGAGTAAAGAAACTGAGATCATTGAGCCGGGTAACAGAGTGGATATATATATAATATATTATTACGTTTGGTGCGGCCAATTGCAACCAAAATACGAGGTGCACATCTACATGTTATAGCAGTCCTATATACAAAATTTCAACGTTCTGAGGCTACTCGTTTTTGAGTTATGCGAGATACATACGTATGTACGTACGTACATACATTCGTACAGACGCCACGAAAAATTCTCTTCAGAATTCATTTTAAAGCAATTTTATAATTTTTTTTGAAGGAAAAGAGTATTTTATTCTGTCCTTACGTACAGATATCACGCCAAAACATCGTTAAATTGCATTGATAGCGGGTCAACATGGATATTTTCGTTGAAATATGCTGCCTGAAACTTTTCGCGATTACAATACTTCCTTTTTACTTCGTACAAGGAAGTAAAAAGAGAAACCAACTTTAGATCAGCGGAAAGAAAAGATTTTGTGTGTGAGTGGGGAAGAAATCTGAGAAAGAGTTTTAATTTTACTGCAATGAGTTTTTTTCATGCGACTAGAATATAAATGAGTAATAGTTGATAGATTTTTAAAAAGCAGATGTTTCCTCTGCTAAACTCTAAATTATCTGTATAATAACAATTAAGTTGCCTTAGCTAATTTACATTCTTTGCGTCAAATGATATATTACATTGGTTGCATCAAATGCGTCAAATAATGTTTTTTTTTTTTTTTTTTTTTTTTTTTTTTAGTCTGCTTTATACTGATGAGTAAGCGAACCGGACTGTAGGTTGTCATATATTCGGTAATTAAAATTTGAAAACAGTATTCTGGCCAATAAATTCTAATAACAACATTCTCGCTGATAAGTGAAGTTTAGTTAGTACAATATAAAACACTTAGTTGAGCATTGTAGACAGTTACTAGCATTTATTGACATTATACATATTTGTAAGCATTATCATTCTGAAACTTTGATTTTTAATCCGTAGTTACATTTCAGTTCATATAACTAACAAATTTTGGTTCCATAAATCTTTTCTTTAAATTTTATTTCCAACACTTTATTACATTATTTAAATTGATATATTAGTATGTCGTGTGAAAATTAATGATGTAAAATGAGCGTTTAACTAAAATATTAGAAACTGCAGGATTGAAGTTCCAGCTAATTTTAATAAATTGAACTTCGTCATGAAAACATACGACTTAAGTATTTTAATACTTCCTGCATTCAATACAAAAGCCAAATTACGCTTAGCAATTAATTTTTGAAAAAGCTTAAAACTGGTAAATTTTTTACTTTGCTTAGGAAATCTTCAGCCACTGGGTTTAAAGGTTTATAGACAGAGGGCGTTCAGGATCAGGAACGCTAAATGATTGTTTCATCAAAATAAAAGTAAACGCAATTACTCAAAAATATTATTAGAATTTTTACGCACAAAACCATGAAAATCATTAATTACATTTAAAAAAATTCCGTAATGCTTAACAAAGCACTCGAGAAGGGCTCAGAAGTACTCAAGGTATTTTATGAAAGCCACTCAAGTAAAAGTTTAGCCTGCTTGAGTACCTTTCAAAAAGAAAGAATTTATGTTTATTTTAAAGGTTCTAATAAAACACACAATTTTTTTCTGGCTTTACCACTATCATTTTATCATGAAGCTATATCCAGACTTAGAAATACGAGCATAAACCTCCAGCAACTGGGAATGATTCCAAAATTGAGGAAAAGAAGAATTGATTTTGATGAATATTTGAATTTAAGCAAATAAGAACATTGTGGAACCATATGAAATTGAAATCTGAGGAACTTATTTTGCATAATAAGTATTTAATTAAGGTTGAAAAAGGATTCGCTGAAGAAATTTTTCATTTTAAATACATAAATTAATTGATCTATGAGCCGTCAATTAAAACTCAACATATTCTAAACTGTATAATTAAATTACAAATAAGTGCATTTCTGCAACAGTATAGTCATATTTAAGCCAAGCTTGCACTAACGGCAATGAGGCTCAAAAATAGTTTTCTACATTAAAATTAATGATAGGTTATATGTAATCACTATTAGGTTAATTCTAATTAAACACAATGTATAGTTATGTGACGATCCTCTCTGAAAATGACTGGTATTTCCAAAAATAAAAGTAAATATCGATATTGAATAGTTTGTCTCTAACTGGTCGAGTTAGAAGACCAAAATGATCTGAAAATTTAGTAGTCTCTTCAGGTTCACAGTAATTTAAGTGTACGGTCAATACAGCATACTAAAAGAGATCGTAATAAAATTGTAATAAAAGTGGCACAATCTGCAGAGTAAATGACGATCTTTTTAAAGATTTTCCATTATGTGAGCTGTTATAAATGCAAATAAAACGCTGTTATTTTCTCTAGTATGATAAAGCACTAGCTAGCGTAGAAACTGTAATTTTTATTTAAAAAATTGTTTTTATAATTGTTTTAACTATACTTGGTGTTTTATGTTTTTCTATATCTTTCAAATTTTAATGAAAATACTTTGAATTTTTATGTATTTTTGTCTTGTTGCGAAGTGAGAACTGGATTAATTAGGTCAACGCCGCTGAATCGTCTGCGCAAAACCGTTTGTTTTATATTTGTTTAATTTCTTTTATACATCGTTTTAGATTTATTATAGTATTTGAATAGAACTTATGGTAATTCTTCAGACGATATAATTTGTGTGCACTCTGAATTATGAAATGAATAAGATGTAATGCTGTTAAGTGAACCTACCGTCGAAGTATCGCTATGGTAAATAAATATAGTGAAGTTTAAAGAGTGCATATATTCTGTTGTGGTTTATGCTTATCCACGAGTAGAAACAAAATCTTAAATGAATTTCAATATGTTTAAATGAAATGCAGGAAAATTACGTATAATTTAATATTCCTTACAAGGAAGTCATGTGGTGTACATACCAGATTTTTCCTATTTGCTGTAAAAGATACAAAACAGAGGATTTGAAAGAAGAAGAATATGATTATCTTACACTTAACGACAGACACAGTTTCTTAGATACAAACACTGGATTTTATACAGAAACACTTATAAAAAAAAAAATGTGAGGCATTGCGAAATAACGTAGTAAACGCTACCATTTTGAATCATGCTTGTTAGAGTTTATGTGATGAGTATTATATAAAAAAAAATTAAATTTTGTCAGAAATGTTGGTAGACGTCTCTACATTCATAGCCTCTTTTCAAAATTTCAGTTGTATTTCATTTATAAACTATTTTAAATTTCTAATAAATAAGTTATAATAAAGAATATCTTACATTTTTACGTGGCGCCCTATAACAGACAAATACCTAATATTCTTCGCATTTTTTTTCCTTTTGAAATCGTCATCTATTAAAAGACTGTGAATTATAAAAATTATAATGCATGTTTCTAACTTATTTGTACGGTTAGTTGTAAATATATATGTACTTGTGTAAAATATAATAATATGTTTATTCAAATTTTTCTGTATTTTCTGTTTTAATTTTCTTTGCAGAGATACCATTTGCAAGATTTAAATACGCAGCAGTTATATTTTATAATAAAAAATATAAAATGAACAGTAGTAGTTTCCGCTAATGCTACTTAATACTTATTTAACAAACTAATAGTCTCTGTATCCCATTACAAATTAATTATCTGTTATACGAAATGCCATGTAAGTACACAATTTGATTCAACATTAACACACTTTATAGCAAATTGGAGCTTATTAAATACTGCTTATTGCAAATGTTTCTGTTTACATCCACAGGGTAGGAAACAGTCATTACAGCTTAATGGAGGAGCTCACGAATCGCTTCGAAAGATAGTTTCTGTCTCTTGGGAGAAAAGGAGGAACTCTACTCTAGCGGATATAGGTTAGTACTTTTAATAATTAAATGTGATATTTGCTTCGCAAAAAGTGATCATGTACATTCAATGAGCATGTGGCATCTCTGCATCTTTCATATGTATACTTTTAATTTTATATAATATTACTCAACAAAGTTAAACTTACATTTACAAACTGAAAGGGCGGTTTTCCAGTTGATTAAGCATGCTTCTTTGCTTTAAATCTGACATTTTATGCTTAATATGTCAAGCATTTTTCGTTATACTTATTTTAATTGTTGAAATTAAACATATTACGTTACCGTAACGAATCAAAGAACACGAAGTAAATGCTAGAGCAATAGCAATTATAAACTTCTCAGATAAAAAATGAAAAAAAAAATTGCGTTTACTTTATTCAATTAATTTTTGCTTTAAAAGATCTGGTACATTTAAAATCTTTCTCTATATAGTTATATATAAGCGGCTAAAGTGTATGTCGCCGATAGTTTATTGTTGCCACTCGGAAAAATGAGTGCGAAAATTAACATTTCCGCAGATTTTAATTAATATCTCGGCCGATTAAAGTCGTACGAAGATGAGAACGGTATCGATGGATTCGGAGAATTTTTTGGAATCCAAGGATACGCGTCTCGAATTTCAGCTCGGCGCCGTTCCGTAGATATTCGAGAAAAAAGAATTTGGCACGTAGCCAAATCCTTTTAATAGGGAAAACCCAAGAAAGAAAGTGGAAAATGTTGGGAAAACGAAGGGCAAAGTTAATTTTTAATTAATTTCTCGGTTAATTAAAGTCCCAAGAAGACGCCAATGGTCAAAATGGCGTGCCGTGGATCTGCGGAATCCAACGATGTGCTTTGCTAAGCACGGGAGCCAGCCGTTTCGGAGGAGATGATGTCACTTCACCCCATGTTGTTACTTCACACCATGAGGCTGAAGTGTCTGTTTATCGCCGATAGTTTATTGGTTGCTTGCTAAACTATACTAGCCAATGGGGGAAGTTGCCACGGCACATGTGTTGCCGTTTCAATGGAGACGTAAACAATTTCCTGGAAAACTTGCCTTTGCTATGGCCATCGATAAGTCTCAGGGCCAAACGCTTAAGCGTGTTGGCATTTTTTTTAACTGATCCTGCATTTGGACACGGTCAAGTTTATGTTACCTGTTCAAGATTTCGTGAAAGAACTCTAAGTTAAACGTAAACTAACGTAAAATTAAAAATAATTGATGGTCCTCTGCAAGGCGAGCTTAGAAATGATGGGAAGATCTACACAAGTAATGTTGTGTAAAAAGAGATCTTTGACATGTGAATTAACATTTTATTATTTAAATCACCTTTATTTATTTAGCGGTGGCTCTTAAGAAATGTACCGTCAGTGGTTCCCTTCATTGCATTCTACTTTAAACAATTAAGCAAGTAGAAGGGGGAAATCCCGTGGGGCAGTAAGCAAAGGGGCGTCCTCACCGTCTACCCTGGGCAATTCAGCTTAAATTAGCAGACACCATCGCACAAATCATTTTAATTACAATTTATAATATCTAGAACAGTGGTCATTTCGTATGACCGCCGGGCTTTCTAGTTTCAATATATGTCAAGTATATAACGCATTTTAACCTTCCAGCACGCGTGCTTGGCAATTTTACATGAGCACGCGCGCCTCGTATTTTTTACGACTTCCGTTATTTTACCATTTTGGCACGAAAAACGACAGAAATGAGTGAATAACAAACTTGTTAAGAAATAAAATATTAATCTTATTATTGCAAAATACAAATAATATCGCATTCAAATATAAGTAAATTATTTTTAAGTCCTCATGTTAGTGAGATGGAAATGCAGTGATGTATTTCATTTACAGAAAATTTTTAAGTTATGTGTTAATAATTATATTTTAAAATCGAAGCTAATTTTAAATAATTCATCAAAGAAGTATAGATAATAAAAAAGGAACACTTTTGTATGAAAAAAAAAGTAAGTTAGCTTACTTACTTCTGCAGGAAATTTACTTTCTTTGTTACAAAAACGCATTTAAACTATGTTTTTTATTTATTTCAAAAAATATAATAAAAGAAATAAGGAATAGAAAGAAAATGAGGAATGGAAATCGCTATTGTTCTCGCTTTCAAGGTTTCCCCCGTCTTCCTTTTCTTCATAAGATAATTCTTGAAGAATCTGAGCAAAATCAGCTTGGTTGCACATATTTTTTTGCCATGAAAACCGATATAAAATTTACAGACCCAAATGTATTCAAATTAAAATAATACGCGACAATTAATAACGCAAAATTACAAAATATTTGAGAAAAAAATATTTTCCGAATTTTAAAACACGACCACGCGCGTGTGGCAACTTTTATGAAAAAGCTGCCACGTAGCACAAAAGCGCAATTAAAAAAAATAAATGACTTCCTGTTGGCACAATCCATGATGTGGGGAAGGGTAGAAACGAGGAATAGCAACGACTTTCAGACGTCTCAGCTTCGATATGCGAAAAATGTGCATTAAAAACTGAATTTGTCATAAATTTTGCTCATACGCGCGTGCTGGAAGGTTAAAGCTCAATATTTTCATATCTAACCGGTTTATGTTCATGAAATTTTGTACTGTTATGTGAATGTGAAGTTTATTCGATGAAAATGACTAGACAAGTAAGTTTAAAATGTTTGCTTTAGAAGCAAAACAAAAAAATAATTAGAAAGAACATAAAAGACACAGATGGAGTTGATTTCATATTCATATATTAATGGCGACTGCAAAATTCACAACTTAGCTTCCACTTTGTTTATCACCAAGCATGGCAGAGTTGAAGTTTAAAAGTTGGAGGAGGAAAGAAAACTCCTTCCGGCCAGGTTTTTCAACCTGAAAAAGACGAAAGAAAATTGTACTTTTGTTGTTGTTGTTTGTTTGTTGAAGTATTATTTATTTTTATATCCCTGATACTGTATTTTTTACTTATACTGATTGTGTTTTATATTCCAGATATAAAATATCATAAACAAAATAAAGTAAACACACCTTCTTCATTAACATAAAATTGTAATGCTTGCTGCTCGCAACATAGCGGATAAATAAATCAATATTTTTAGCTCATTTTTTTTTCAAATTAAAAACATAATGTGCAAGTAAAATAGCTTTCTTTAATAGTATAATAGTTTCTTTAATAGTTTCTTTAATAATATATTTGCATAAAAACATTATTTTTTTAATTTAAAACCGCAAAGTCAATTAATTTTTGTATATATAATTAAACGTAATTTCTAATGTTTTTAAATAATAGTTGGCCATTTTATACCCATATATGGTTTATGGAATTGTTCAAGTTTTCTCGAAGTTTTGAATAAAATCTTCAGAGAAATCATGCTCACTAGCAGGAAACCTATAGTGTTGAGAAATCATAACTTAATCATTTTCAAATCCTGTAAATGCACATTTTTTTATTATTATTATAGAAATATATATATAAGTGTGCAGATATGCATAATTGATATTTAAATAGAATAGCATGTATAAATATTCTGTGAAAATGGGAAGTGAGAAATCGATGTTGTCACATGATTTCAAATTTAATTACACTTCTAAACGTTCGTAAGTAAAATTTGCAATAGTTACTATAGTGTTTAAACATTTAATCAAAATTTCTTAAACGTCTAAACAACCATTTCAGAAAAATTATGCAGCCAAATTATAAAATCACACTTTTATGAAATTTTAACTGAAAAAAAAATTACCATGAAATCTCATAAGCATGTTTTTTACCTTAAATTAAATAATATATAGATAGATATGTTCAGAAATATATTTTTCTATAATGGCTAACTATACATTGGTATAAAATTTTATACATGATCACTTTACATTTAGAGGGAATAAATAAGAGGATTTAAAGCTTTCAATTCATGTCAAAACTTTTATATTATTATCTCTGAGACATTATTAAGTTGAAAGGTACCTAAAGTATAGAATATTTTAATATAAAATGGAAGGACTATATAATTACGCAGAGTATTATTCTTCTTAGAAAAAAGGCTTCTTCAGCCCGTTCCTGCTTTCTTTCATTTCGCTTTATTTTCTCTGAAAAGAATTATTTTGTTTAATATTCATTATGTATAGACATCAGGTTTTTATCAAACTGGGAAACGTGAGAAAGGAGCTATGCTCTCACCGGTATTCGAATCCCAGATCTTCCAGTTGTCAACTAAATGCGTTACCAAATCAAGAGAAAACGTAGGACAGAACATGTAAATTCCTTGTAATTCTGATAGTTTATCAACAAGAAAGAAAGTAACACCTTCAGTCAGGGAGGACGAAAAAGGCTCTCGGCACTGAACCAGTATCCAAATTGCAACTCTGTATTTTAAGGCATTTCTCCCGCCTTCTTCGCATGCCTTCGTGGTGCAATGGTCAGCACGCTCGGCGCGTATTCTTGAGGTCCGTGGTTAGAGTTCCGCCGAGGGAATTGCTCATTTTTTACGTCTCTCAGCATCAAAATATCCTAATGTCTCTACAGTATCACGGTTCAAAATGGTAAACAACAAGAGAATTTGCTGATGCTCTTTGAATAAACTATGTAAGTAGATGTTAATAAATTACTCTCGTCTCAGATACAAAATAAAAGTAAAAATATTATGGTACATTATTTTGAAAGTAATTTAAAACAAATCCTTTAAGCCATCATCTTTCGCTGAAATGTAGATGTAAAGAAGATGTCTACCTCTTTAAAATGGCGAACGCTTAGATTTATCGTTTATTAAAGCTTTGGTTCTAAAAAGAATGTTTACATGAGTTTCTTTTAAAATATTTGCGAAAAAGCGAATTTTAATATAAAAGTATAAAAAAGTTCGATTGTTTGGTCTTTAAATATATTTGACCCCATAATTTCATACCATTTAATTCCTTCTCATCTCCACCGTATAAATAAAATGTCTGGAGAGTACGCAAATGAATAATACCATGTTACTCTATTACTCCTACTGTATTACTTTATAATATCATTATTTAGAAATTTTAGCTCGCTGGTAGATCATGATGTCGCCT